AAACAGTTTCCCAACTGACTGCTGAAAGCCAGACCTAAATCCAGCAAACCTTTTTAGATATTAACCCTTTCAGTGAGCACGAGCTGCACAGCAATTTTTCTGCCTGTATGTCACACAGTCTTGTTCAAGTTCTTCAAAACTATTGCAGGGAAGTCTAGACCATGAAGATTGGTAAAAGTACCATCCCAGAATAATAAAAAGTAAGAAACCACGTTTTTCCATATAGTGGCATCTTGTGAACATAATCTCACACTGGGTCTCCAGTCATTGAATTGAAGTTGAAAAACTGCTTAGCCTTGACTGATCTGATGCCTTTAGTGACATGGTTTAGAAATGGACTTTGGAGTCCCCAAGATAAAGGTTGGACATGATGATCTTAAAGGTCTTTTCCAACCTAGCTGATTTTATGATTCTATGATCTTGCACCTAACACATTCAGTACCTTCTTCTCATTGATTCAAGAAAGATATTACACCACCACCTTCAGATCCAGACCACAAGAGTACTGACCTGTCCTGTCTTGACAGTCTGTCCTGACTGCACAAAACCAGAGTGCTGCAATGTGTGGGAGTCACAGTTTAATTTAGTTTCAACAGCAATAGAAGAGTTACTACTGATAATCAGATCAACAGGGATTTCTGCCCAAGCCAATCACTCAGGCACTTACTTAGTTTGTCAGAAATGTTTTATTTGCATCCTGTACTCTAAAACTCAGGTATATTTGTATGAGCTGCAGTCATATCTCTGCAATGCATCTTGGGGAAAAAGTACTTAGTAGTTGTATTCCTTTAAATGAGAAAGGGAGAAACAGCCATCAGTACAACTGCAGCATTCCCAAGTACAATGTACATTGCAGCTATTAATCCGTGATTCTATGATTCTATAAGTGAACATGAATGAGACGGACAGAGTAAAATATGCTATTTTTTTTCCCAGTCTCTAATGCTTCCACATGCTCCCACAATCAGGATCAGTTCACTACAGATGATGGGTTCTTATAGCAGCAACATCAATAATGTTTCTGAAACATTTCAGTCACTGTTAAGAAACTGTGCCAAACCTTTTTGTTGCAGGACAAGATGTATATGTTTTTGTTGCCTGATGCTATGAGCTCATAGAACTTTCAGATGCTAACAATCACTGTTTTATTTTTTTGCATGCTGCAGTAAAGATGCTATCTTTCACACTATACACTGATTTCTGAGGTGTGTGGGAAAGAACCAATGGCTCATAACAGATCTTAGGTCCATCAATCAACACACCACCTAAATTCATATGGATCCAATGTTGAGAGTATGATTGCTGTTGTAAAGGAAGCTCTAATTTTTCCATTTGCAACATGCACAGAAAGCTGTGTCAAACTTTTTTACATCCTTCACAATGATGAGGGGAATTTCATGCCACAGTTCTGGACTATCTTTTCTTCATCACAGCAACCTATGAAGTTTCTGGACAAGCTATTCCTTAGAAAACAGTGAAGAAAGCACTTTAATTCTCTAGGGCATCTCTGTTACTTTGGGTCAAATCTGCATCCTCCCTCATGAAAGTGAAATAATCACAGAATAAATACAAATAGAAATGGCAGCACCTGGCTCCAGCCAGGAGAAACTGTTAATTTTTATTTTCAGGCAAAGCCAGAGCCTCTGAGGCAACAGTAGCTCTCTACTTCATTCATTTTGGCTGGTGTGAACATCTAGTCCCAAGAAAGACTGTATAAGTAGCTATGATATAATCAAGGAAAATTCTTTTATGTTTCCCCTTGAAATAAATCTGTCAGAAGAAGAAGGATGGAGAAAATTGTGTACTTTACGCTAAATTAGTTAAATTAAATATGAAGAGGAAATGGCAGAAAAAGAAAGAAACTCTTATGGCAATGCTATAAATTGGTTGGTTAAACATTTATGATATGACAGCCTTAAATCAGACACAGACACTTGAGGACTAAGGCCTCAGCAGGTAAAGAAGTTTGCTTCATTTGCAGCTATACAATTCAGGCTGACTTAGATCAGCTGAGATTTCCAGCTGTACATACAGGAACCATTCTAATAATCTAATTAGTCTGATTTTCAGAAAAGCTTGTGCAATAGATTGACAAGAGGGCACTTGGCACAGGACCAGTGCAGATATGCTGTTATAGCTGAGTGTCTATTGTGTAGGTTGCACTATTCAGTAGTCCTGAATTTCTAGGCATAAAATTGCTAAATTACTTTAATATGACTATTGGTTTGCAACATGAATGAATCAATTTCAATGACAAAAATATTTCAGCTGAATAATTTCACGCAATTCAGCTGAACGTCCTCAGTATTATTTTACTAGCATCTGAATTTTGCACTTGACGTTACCAATGTTTGGCAGTGGAGATGTTTTGCAGCTCAAATAATACACAATAGAGTTGTTACTTCACCACATGAGATGTCAACTACCCACTTTCACCAAGAAGGGATCCGCAACAACAATAAGGAGAGGCAGGTTTTGAGCAGTGCCCTTTTTTTCAGTTCCTTTTGGGGCCATTAGGTGGTAATGAAGATTGATTTAGAAACAGAAAATAAGTGTATATGTGAAAAATAGCCTGACAAAGATGGACAGGCCTACAGCCTGGGTCAGGTGCTCTCTCCAATATGACTGACAAGGCCACGTCCTCTGCTCCTGCACCATCCCCTCCTTTTCATCTGAAACAAAACCAGGTCCATGGGTAAGGACTGAGTGTTAGTCCAGTAGGTTCCCTCTAGACAGGGTACTGAGAACCAGGACTTCAGGATACAGGCAGAAACTTCGAGGCAAAACCAAAAGGTTACCATTTGCATTTTATGGAGACATGCGAATAAATGTGAAATGCACAGTTTAATATGTCTTTCGAAGCTCACTATTTACCCAAGGGCCAGAGGTGCTTATTCTGGTAGCTCCATTATCAGGAGCAACAGAAGTGATAGCACAGAGGTAGGGGCAGATCTCATAGCTATGAGGCAGTGCTGAGCACAATGTGGGCAGGCTACCTTCTGCTTCCCAGAGATGGGCAGAGAAAACATGAGTAAACCATGTCCCGTGCCTTTCACTGTTAGGGCTTGAACTCACAACTCTGCCACTATGGGAAGAGGAGCTAAGAGCTACCAGGGCTTAGGAGGAGAGGGGAGAAGCCTGAATGTGAAAGCAAGAGAGACCTTGGCAAGAAAGAAGCTGTTGGTATGAACAGTTGGAGAAGAAAGGAACTGGATTATGCCCTGTAGAGACTATTATCTTGTCAGCTCCGTCTGGAAAATTTAAACATTTGGTTGCACTTAGCACAGCTTCAGGGCACTTGTAGCTGGTTTATCTTTTGATAGTCTGTGAGGGACCATATGCTAGCACAGGGTTGCCAGTTCCCGACTCTGACCCACTCTTCCCAAGCCCTGAAATGCCTTGTACCTTTCGTGAGGAAGGAGGTGCCAGTCTCTGGTGCTGTCCAAGGTCTCAGCTACATTTGCTCTTGAAAAACTCCCTGTTCATTTCATTTAAAACTAAATGGAAGGGGAAAGGCAGCTGACAAAATGGTCCTGTAATATACATTAATACTGAATATCTTTCTAGTAAAGAAAAGGAAAATTCTAGCATTTAAGAATAACATTTTATTGTAGATTCTAGTCTTTAAAAGACATAACTATTTGATATAGAATTTCAAGATCAGCAAAGATTGTTATACAAATATGGTCATGGTATAATCTTGAAAATTATTAACAGTTTTCAGCAACAAGGGAGTTTTACAAGGGAAGAAAATCAATATTGACCTACCGTGTTTATCTGTAGCATATTAAAGTTGCCTGCACCTGAGAAATCCCAGTAATTAAACACCTAATGCTAAATTAATACAGAAAAAGGTTAAGCAAATTCTGTAGTTTCAAGGGAGCTAAAAAAGCTGATTATGGGCTAAGAAAAATACTCAAACCAAACAACAAAACAAGCATTAGATTGAAATTGGGTGCAAATGGACATAAGTAACAACCGGAAAAAAATGTCTTCCCTACAGTACTTGATTAATTCAATCTTTTTTGTACTGACTCAACTGCACTGTTTGCAGTGCTCCAAGCCACTCAGCTGTCAGGCTGGATCCCTAATGACCCAACTTAACCCCCAACAAACAAAGTGAACAGCCAAACTGATTGTTGCCCATCACTCCAAAATTATTTCTCAACATTTTCATTGGAGTTGCAATGACCAGAGATACCTCAGAAGCATTAGTCTGACACCACTTTAGACATGTGCTCTCAAGCATATGAACCAGTTATCTTAGGCTGTTCTCCAGCTGTGGTAGCTGCCATAAGATGTATTCAAGGGCCCTCATCCTACAGTAGCTGTCTGAGCTAGATGAATTGCAATACCTATTTCTCTTGTTCGACTATAGCCTAGGAAGGGAAATCTTTGATACGTGATTTTTACATGTCCCTCTCTATCTGGTCATGTGCTCCAATAAAGTATTGGCTACAGACATTTAAGAAGACATTTAATGAAAAGTCACTTTTTCATTAAACTCTCTTAAATGCTTATGGTGCTGTGTCTCTATCCAGCTTATGTTTTAGGGCAATGTTTTTTAAAAAAACACTTTTCTAGTAAGAAGCAGAGATCAATTGCACTGAATCTCTTTAAGGATGCTGAGGGAATACCTAAGACTGTATCCTTTTCAGATTAAAATATCTGCTTACCCCAGTCCTCAGACTGGCAAAGTTTTATAGGCATATTTTTATATACATCTTGATGGCTCCAGTGAAGACAATGGGATTATTCAGTGCTTATGGCTTGTTAGTTGCTTTTGTTTTTGCAGGATCTGGGACTTGATGTTGTTTTCCTACATATTCTGTTCCTCACCAGATGTAGCAGAAGGATATGTATAACGGAATTCTTCACTTCTGCCCCATTCATGCCACCATTCACATTTAATTTAGTAAAGAAGCAATAGCTGATGCCATGGCAAGTTTTATACTAGGCACAAAGCCATCTTTCAATTTTTATTTTTATTCTTTTTTTTTGTAATTGGCAAAGCTGAATTCAACTTCAAGCAATCCCTCTCTTCTCCATTATAAGGGCATATCCAGCACTTCTCCAGAGTATCACTTGAAAGAACTAATGAATTACATTAAATGAAATGTTCTTTTTTATTTTTTTCTCTTGAGGAAATGAGCTTTAACATCATCAAATCCTGTATGCTAATTCTGAGTCAAATATCTTGGTATTTTTTCCAGGAAAAGTGCTCAGCAAAACTTTGCTCTTGCCTGAGTGTTGTACGATTGTAACAAATCACTAAAATGTCCCTGAGATGTCTCACATCAGGGAAATTAAAACCCTGAAAAATATATGTTCTTGGCACAGTCTTTATATATATTGTGAAATTGCTACTGTAATTGCAGGATTTAGTATGTTATGGGGAAAAGACATTTTCTTTTAAGGCCTTTTTTTCTGTAAATCTCAAATTTAAGTCGAAGCACAGAGAGATAAGTGCATCCCTATTTATTTCACTACTTATATGCATGCTTAAATTTCAAGATGCCCTGGTCTGTGAGATTTAAGAATTTGATTAAACTACATCACTTACTTGAGTGCTTTGCCAGATTAAGATCTTCAGAAGTGGAATACTAGTATGAATATAGGCTGCATTGGTGTTTAAAGTTATAACTTTGCTGGTAAACCAAGCAATGACAGGAGTTGTGCTGAGGCCTTGAATGATGCTGACATGGGCTGTCTGTCCATAATATTAAATATTCCTGTAGTCTAAAAGATGGGGAACTGCAAAAAGCTGTTTGGTGAGAATGGTCCCTGGATCATGCCAGCACTGCTTTTCTGGACCAAAGCTATGCCAAGAACATCCCTAGGTATTTAATAGTTTAGAATATTAAATTCCAATACCTTTGTAGTTACAAAACCTGGAATAACCTATAAGACCAACTGCCTTGATTGCACCCTAAGTTCTGTGCTTCAACTGACTTTATCATGCCCAGGACTTAGATTGGGATTCATGGTGCTGTTCGGTAACGGTTTGTTTTTATACATGTGGCTCTCTAAGGTAGTGAGAAGAGAACAAATTCTTGTTCAGGGCTAGATACTGTCACTGTTTAGGCTTTCACAGCTACCTAAGCCCTCTTTGAAGTTCTCGCACAGGTACAATAATGCCAGCTAAGCTGGCACCTTGGTCACTCATTTCTTTCACACTTCATTGTGGAAAGTTGATCTGGTCACAGAACTGAATTTTGCAACTACCTCTTCTTTTTCTGCAGAGACAAAATCGCACATTTCACAAGTTTTACATAGTTAGAATTTGGGTCTACACATTGGGAATTAGGGCCTGTGGTCTGAATAGGTACGTACTACTGGTACTGCTGTGCCAGATGCTGCAACATTTCCTTTGACATACTTTTGAAACCAACGGAGTTTCCTTTAAGCCAAAGTCCGCTTTTTGCAGAGAAAATGTTTTTGTAGCTCAGAGATCATTTTCAGTGTGATAAGTGTAAAAAATATTCAGTCCTCATTGATGGCAGGAAATAAGATCGAAGAAGTGTCATGACAGAATTGCAAGAGAAATAGAAGAAAAATTCTTTGGATCAATATCTATTTAGTTGACTGAACATAAGAAAGAACTTCTTTACTGTAAGGGCTGCTGAGCATTGAAATTAGTTGTCCAGGGAGGCTGTAGAGCCTCCTTCCCTGGAGATATTCAAGAGCCAAATGGACACAATCCTGAGTTATGTGTTCTATGTGACTGTGCTTGAGCAGGGAGGTTGGAATAGGTGACCTCTGGTAGTCCTTTCCAAATTCAACATTCTGTCATTCTATAATTTTGTGATTCTGTGACATGCCTATATAAATTCCCATGTAAAAAGTCTCCATCCATGACTAAATCTAAAATATTTCTTGTCCAATTCTCAAGTGCTTATTGAAAGAAAAATTATACTTTTTGTCCTTTACAGAGGAATTGAGTGCAATATCCAACATGCAGCTGGGAAACTGAGAAGCAGGCTTACAGCAGAGGGCTGCCACACTACCTTACTGTTGGGATATGTCCCTTCTCCAGCAAAAGCTGTGCTAATCTGTTAATGATTTTCATACATAATCAGGGTAGGCTCTGATGTGTGCTCCAGAGAACTCTGCAGCTGATATTGCCAAAATAGTGGTCTTGCTAATTATGGGGAGCCCATTATCAATCTGTTTTAGAAATACTGCCTGGAGTATCCATCAGGGTGCTGTAGAGGTGCTGAAGTAAAGTAAAGCAGGACACTGCTGAGGCACAAATAATTTTTCTCTAGTTAAGTTTGTATCAGCATTTCTACTAAAATACTTGTTTCCATTCAGCCTGGAAAATGTGTTCAGAACAGAAACTTGGCACAAAATGTTCCAAGCAGGGGCAATATTTTCTTTTTGAGGAAATGCTCATTTATTTTTGTTTCTGAGACAGAAATGGAGCTAAAGTCTAGGCATTTCTGTGATAAAAGCATGCAGTAGGAAGCAAAGCCTACAGTAAAAAAGAACCAGGAAGAGCAGAAGTTTATGAGATAAAAAATGTAGGAAAATGGAAATTTAGGGTTAAATATTTTTTAAGTTTTCTTACAGACAATTTTCTCTCTGAGGAAAGTTTTTAGCTATTTAGGTGCTGCTATAAATTAGTTAAGTCTGTACCAGAGTCTGCACTTTGATGCATCCAAGCATCTTCCATTTATGTCAACAGGGTTATGCTCTCAGAGTCTTAAAAAATAAATAGGAAAATTTTGAAGAGGTTGAGAGCACACACAGAAGATTAAAATACAAAACAAGTTGAGCTGCAAAGGAAAGATAGCCTTGGGGAGCAGGAAAGAGAAACTTCATTTTCTTTAATGAGGAAGCAAGAAGAAAATGAGAATAGTGTTGTGGGTATATTGGTATGTCAGAGAGGAAACAAGCAAGGAAAGATGAAATTCCAAACTGCTTCACATTTGTTTGTTTTTAGGAGGATGTTGATTGTCTGTCTGGGAAAGAAGGCCATATCCCCATGTTTGGCCTGAAACCCACAGTATACCTCAACTTTGTGGCGAAGCAATGACGTTTCATCCTATGAGTAGGAGGAGCATCTGAGTTTCACATTGGATCCTTGTTTTTAAACCATGAAGGAGGTAGAAAGAGTTTGGGTAAAGAAGGCCTTGAGGATTAAAAGGAAAAATTTCCAGAAAACTTCCTTCTACCTGAATGATGTTTTGGAAGAAGCGGTTGCACCTCTCCAGTGTTGGTCAGGTGAGGTGATGTATGGAGCTCTGTAATGACAAATGAGGATGTTTCAAAGAACACCTCTAAAAAAAGCCCCTAAACTCTTCCTGGTCAGAAGTGTATGCTTGTGAGCTGCTGTGATCGTAAATTCCAGATTACTCCTGGGGAAATTATGAATTATGGCACTCAGTTCCTGATAGGTACTTCTGCATATCTCCAGGAGGCTGTGATGTTGCTGCTTATAAGGCAGAGAGCGAACAACAGGGACATGCACCACCTATGCTTGCAGCATAGTGTGCGCTTTTCAGTTCTCATTCACAGCTTTTTCAGGTGAAGAAGCAGCTCTGAATCTCATCCCCTTCTCCCCAGGGGTGTCTGAAACCCAAGATGGGATCCTTACGTTGCCATAAATGGAAAACAGGTCATGGAGAGGCCCATGCTGAAGTGAAACAATCTGCACACACTTGGTCTGTGAATGTGTACAGACTGGTTTGTACAAGACTACAGTGAGAAGAAGCTTTTTAGGTAATGGATGAGATTCTTCCCATATTCAGTGTCCTCCCTGTTCAGATGCCTTCTTGTTTGGGTAAGATGGTATGGAGGAATAATCAAAGTTTTGTCTGTCTATAATTTGGTTACACTACCTCCCAAAAAACATGTTTTGCTTGGTGTCCGCTTCACCTTAATTTTCTGAGATAGTCTTAACGTATTTTCTATTTAAAACCTGTTGGAGGATATGCTCCCTCTTTGTGAAATATCCCTTCTCCCCAGCACTACCACATGTCACTTGCTCACAAACTACCTAAATTTGCTTCCTTTTGGTGTTTCCTAGGATATCACATGAGAGCTTGAGGTACTCAAAACCTAGTGTTGCAATGAAAAAGAACTTATTAAAGTTTATAATTACAGAGAAATTAATCAAAGAGACTTAGCATGGTACTTGCATAAAGACAATAAGCCAAGCTCTTATCACAGTGAAATATGGAGTAACTCCATTGGAATAAATCTTAATTATGTGAGAGTCACTACTCAGTGTGACTTAATTAAGAATAGAGCAGTGAAAGCCTTTTGGGAAAAAACAACACTGATTACACAACTATTTTACTGCATATTTCCTCCTTCTCCCCTGGTTCTGTTTCTCCCCACTGGAGAAAATTTCAAAACTAGAATTGTTGAAGCGAACCCAAATCAATATTAGCATGTGGCAGGTCACATCCTAAAAAGGATTTTTTGTTTTTTAAGTAAACAATTGAGAACAATAACCCTGAAAATAATGTCTTTAAATTGTACATGCAAGGTGCCATGCATCCATACTTATCTTGGCCATAAAAAGCATGTTGCTTTCTTAAGCAATAAGTTTACGAAACATCAAGTACTGGACTGCAGAGGTGAAGACTTAACTCTAATGAAAAAGAAGGAGGAATAGATTAACAAAAGTTAAAACAGACCACACGAGAAAGGGTAAAGAAAAAAATACAGAAATATACGTTCACTACAGCCTCCTGAATGCAGCATGCAACAATGGCTATAAACAGATATAATGTTCAACAGTCATATCAACAATGTAAGAAAGAGGTTCGTCATGATTTCACTTCTTACTAGATAGAAAGCATGCAAAGCCAGATATATTGTGGCAATAAATCTGTTGACTTCAACAGAGTTATCTCAACAATGAATTCTAACCAATATACTTTGAGGGAATGAAACCAAAACAGGTAGGAAATGCACACAGGGTTCTTGGCAGATTATGTAGACCATATATAAAACCAGACTTTAAAGGAATATGTTCAATACCCCAAGGACTTATGGTAACTGGGAAAAAAAAAGGATATAATGAAGACCCAGTGTGCAGCATGTAACAGAGTGTCAAATTGATTTACATGGGCTATGTCCTCTCTGTACCAGTGCTTATGTAGCTGCAGCTGAACTGAAAAGGTGATGCAGAAAAGGGTAGAATTCACTGAAAAAAACTGAAAGCAAAATAAGAAAAAAAAAAAAAAGAAAAATACAAACTCCCCATCCCCAAATGATTCCAATATGAACTGAATTATAGAAGAAAATGTTCTTTTTTGTAGCTTCATATCGAAGTTTTCCTTGTTCCAAAAAGAGTGATGTATCTGCAGGAGTAACAGCTGCAATAACTTTTCTTGGTGAATCCAGAGAACAGTTCATAAATAAAGTAATAAAGTGACATCCATAGAAGATCTGGTTTGTTTTCTGCTCCACTCCAGCATTGACATAGAAATAAAAAACTTCTGTTCCCAGGGTGTAATCTATATATCTTGTGTCTGGTATACACAAGTGTTATTGCTCATGCATTACATTGATATTGAGAGAGAAGCTGGTTTGACATCTCATCAAACTCTAACTCATTTATGTAAGCCCACCTTCAGTATTGACATCTTCCGACTTAGCTCATCATCTTCTGCTAGGCAATTTTTGAAAAATAGAAACTTCGTAAGTCAAACATAAAATCTGAGCTGAGTTACTCCTGGGATTTATCCCTAAAATAGATGATTAGGAGGCCAGTTTCTATTTTTATTTTTCTTTTTTTTTCTCTTTCACTTGATATTTGGTTGTTTTAAGTGGGTTTAATTTCACCAAATCTGGTTGAGTCTGCATTGCTGATGTCTGTGTCTCAACTTCTCATGCTGAGCTTCCTTTATTACCGATGGACAGAAAAATAGATATTTTTTAAAGTGCAATTCATTCATGCTTAATGAACAGCTGTAAGATGGGTCAGAAGTGTCTGTCCTTCTCCTTTGGTCGTAAAGGAAGGTCAGGTATAAATGTCTACGTTTGCAGTGTGCAAAGTTAGATGAGATGAATCCTGGCTTTGATGGCTTTAGAAGATGCTACTTTTTTCAGTACAATGCATGACAGAGATCCCTGGGATACATCTGCGTAGTACAAGAGAAGACCAGCAACTTCATCTGTGACACATCCAGAAGTAATACCCAAGGGGCACAGTGGTCTAGCAACCCATGTTTTGTATGGGCAGTGGAGGAAGTGTAAGAAGATATACAGAAAGCTTGACATTCAGAACCACCTGTTCTAAAAATGATGTATATTGCACAATGTCTTTAAGATGCAGATCAAGGTTGGCAAATACCTCCCAACTAGAGATGCATCTCAGCCATAACCCAACGTGAAAACATTCCCTGCTCCTAAACCTTACTAAACCCTTAAGATCTCAGTTTTTCAGCTTGCCCTTGAATATCTTAGGTCAAACCAGTAACCTTGATCTAGCTAGACCTGAAGTTTTGATCTGGATTCAAACTTTGCAACATTGCTTATCTAGAAAGTTTATCTTTCTCCAAGATGTTGCACACAAAAGGTTCCTTGAAGAATCAAGACCTTTGACCACTCTTAAAACACAGAAGTCATTTTTGCAAATGGTAATGGTCAAGTACAGAAAGCGTAGAGAAGAGGGAAACTGCATTTCTTGGAAAGAAAAGCAGCTAATAAATATTAGAACTGGCATTCAAATGGCTTTTTTGTGCTGCATCTGAATTATTTCTGGCTCTCCCTAACCATGAAACAGCAGGAAGAGACGAGATGTCACATAGCAAAGAATCAGCTTCTTGTAGAGGGATTTTTAGTAAAACACATGTACACACCCTCATCAGCAAGCTCTGCAGGTTTGAGACTGAGTTAACCAGCCACAATAGACAAGTATACACATTTTGGAAAGCAGAAAGCTTCCAGACATCTTTTAAAAGTACCAACAAATAATACAGAGTAGACATAAACACTCCATATAGTGATATCTTTACATAGTGTCCTCATGGATACTATATGTTCAGGAAGACCTTGCTCATGTAGGTGATGATATACCATATTCCAGAGAGTAGAATGCAAGCCCTTTTAAAATGCTGAAAGGAGAGATGGACATGGCAAGCTCCAGTGCAGAACTGAGCAAAGAGCAGACAGAAATCACTAGATCTATTTTCATCTCTTCTCTTGGGCTTTTAAGCTGTATAGTTTACAAAGCAAAGAAAGTCATTCATAGTTCTTTACAGTATGATTTCTAGTGTCACATAGTGACTGCGGATTTACTGCACTCTCCTGTGAAATTTCAAATGCCATAACAAAGCTTTATGTTGCAGGTAATCAACACTCAAATATTTAGGAATAATAATAACAAAGACATTTCACCCTCCCCTTCCCACAGGGGACCAATCTGTCCTTTTACAACCAGGAGGTGATTCATCCCCATGCAAACCTGAACAAGGTCTTTTTGTGTGTGCCAGGTGTTTGACTGATGTTTTGCTTAAAGAAGGGGAAAATCCCACTTTCTGCAGCATATTGCAAGTACCAGCAAACATATACCTTTGTCCACTGGACCAAACATATAATGATAATACTGTACAGGTGCTCCAGAGCTGACTCAGATTTTACATAATCACATTATTCCTGTGATATGCAATCTATCATCACATTTAAAGTGCCTGCTTGATTAATATTCAGTATTTAATGTCAACACTGAGAAATTAGAATTCACAAGTGTTACACTGCAGGAACTGCAAATACTGCTGCAGTAGTGATGGCCTTTAGTTTTGTGAGATCTGTTATTTCAAGGGGAATTTCACAATTTGAAATTACCAAAAATGTAAGCATGGTGTTAACCACCAGCTGTAACATTGTGGGATAAAAGTCATGTGTTACATTTAAAGAAACTAAACTTTAAATTTCCAAATGGCTATGATTATTTCTTCTCTTATATAAACAGTACTTCTATACCTAAACTCTGTAACCTTGCCATCCATATTCACAATAACACTCTAATTGTGGTGTTACAGGTATACATGGTATACTATAATTGGGAAGTACTTTGGCTTAGGTTGGTTTAAACATCTACTTCCCAAGTGCATAGGTTTCATCTTAACCAGCTTCTCAAGAAAATAAGAAAAATATAGCATGGCATTTTTTTTTTATCTTTCTTGGACATGTTCCCTTTTCTCATTTGAAATGTTTTTGGACAATTTTTATCAAACAAATCTGCCTCTTTCTCTACTTTTTACTTAATTGTAACTCCTTTTTTTTTTCTTTTTTTTTTTTTTTTTACCTTTACTTCATTATGACAGATCGAGCAATATCCATTAGAACTACAGTTTGAGATTCAGGAACATTTAATGGCTAACAGACTCTTCCCTGGTGAAGGATGAGGATCCAAAGGAAATATTTGAGATCAATTTTACTTTCATTATTTTTGTTAAAAAAAGTTTGCACCTTGATGTGTCATGAATACCCCTTCTTGATCTTCCTTTGCCTTGTCAGACCTGGCCAGCACAAGCAGCTGAGATCTTTGCTCTATTTTCCCTGCATCTCTGTGCAATGCTTTTTTAAAAAGAGAATATATTACTATTTTTACTAAGCCTTTCAAACCGCTGTAACATGATCAGGATTCTCCTGAATCTCTATGCATTCGATCTCTTCTCGTTCCTTCCTTTTGGCTCGTTTCTTTTTCTTGTGGTGCTTTTTGGAAGGTGGAAAAAAGGTTAGAAAGACAGGCAAAATAACAAAACAGTGCAGAAGTGTGCAACTGCCGGCAAGCAGCAAGCATTTGAACAGTGTGAAGGTCAAGTTTGAAGGCACAAAGAGAAGGGGGACCAACCCAATAAGGAAAGAAGAAACGTTCTGCAAAATGGCTGTCCCATGCTCTTGGAGGGAGTTCTTTATACACTGAGTTCGGGTGTGCTCAGTAGCTAGTACAAATGTATAAAGCAGGGGTGCACAGTGATCTATGGCAAAATTCAAAGTGTAGATAAGGCACAATATAGAAATGCAATCCATGTCTACATTCCATAAAGTCATCAAGCCAAGGACACCCAGCTCTATTGAGGTGACACTGAGAATTAACCAGAAATTTCCCAGAGGATGGATAACCAGGAAAAAAGTCAGTATTAACATCAGCAGGATGCCAAAACCAGAAATCAGGACAGGCATAGTTACTGACAAACCGTAATGGTCCATGAAAACAAAAGTAGGATTGAACACAATGAACTTGATGCTCTGTATAAGAGAGAGGGGTCTCAGCTTCTCTAACAATTCTATTGCCTCCCTCTGTGTGTTTTCACTAGTCCTGGCCACAAGGTACAAACGAGAAGCAATTATATTGTTCTCATCTCCAGCTTTGGAGAAAATAATGTCATTTTTGAAGTGCTGAAATTCTGGCTTTTTTAAAAAGGAGCTCTGGAGAATGCTGATAAAGTCACTTTTATTGGTTGCACTGATGTTACCCACACGAAGGTACTGGTAATACTGCTCAATCCAGGACACTGTATTGAACCCCTGGCTTATTGTTTTTAGGTCTTCTTGCACAGTGCCATTCCAGTACTCAAGAGGTTCATAAATGTAAAAACCTATCACTGGGCTGTAGTTGCTGAAATACTTCTGTTGTATGAGGGCATAGGAGACGCTTGGAGACTCACTGGCAAGAAGGTTGATAATGTTGGCTCCATCATTAATCTGTAAGCACCCCATAAAGGAGAAAGAGGCATAGATGAGATAAAGTATCACCACAAATGGCTTGACATATATGTTGGTAATCCACTCATTGTAATGCTCTCGGAGGAAATGCTGGATAAAGTGATGCTGGTAAGGGTCAGTCTCATGGTGAGAAGTATGCTGATGGCCATCGTTCATCATGGTCTGGAACCACACAGGTTTTCTGTCCAGGTATTCTGCTGAAGGGATTTTGCAGCAGAAGATGCTGTGATAACGGTTCTGCTCCAACTGGCCAGCAAAGACCAGGCAGGAGCCAAAGAAGGAGAAGATATAGAAGTAGTTCAACAGGATGGAGACACACATGTTCTGGCAAAAGACTTTTACAGCTTCGATGTTGGTGAAAGGACTTGCACCCATGCCAAAGGCTATGAAATACAAGGAGCTTGTCATTGTGTAGGAGACCATGACATCTGAGTAGGCATCTGCTACTCTGTCCTTGAATGGCAGATTCTCTCTGGTTCGACGCCATCCTGAGAGAAGTTCAAACACTCCTTTGGTTCCATGACCTGGAATGAGAAAACAAAGTACGTACATGTACCATATATAAAGGGGTACCATCCTCCAGATTTGGGAAGGTTTTTTTGTCTTCCAGGAGTCAAAAAATTTTATCAGCTAAATTTTGTTATGATTTTGAAACTAGTTAAACAAATGAAAAATTATGAGGTGTCTGTCTAAAACTAGATACCAGAATTCATGTGCAGCTGCTTAAATTAATAGCTGATATTCTGAGACTCTCCATGCTCAGAAATAAAATTGTGAAATAGCCTTTAAAAGACAGTCATTGATTTTAATGGACATTGAATTAGTTTTCATATTCACTGCATATATAGGACATAAAAGAACATGAAGTTTAGTGCAAGTCTGAGGCTCATTCATGAAATTTCTTGTGGTATTCTACTACATCTTTCAAAATATTCAGTTTCATACACTTAGAAATGCAAGTAACAACAATTTATTCCAGGGAGTATAAATTGAAGGCATTATCTGAGAAATGAGCAGGTGTGACCAAGAAAGGGACATCTTCGTTCTTCATGCTAGACAAAGGAAAAGATACACTGCCATTAAGTACAAATAACCAGAATAATTTATATGATGGTTCTCTACCTATTGAGTGAAATTGGAACTCCTCAGTGATAGTACACTAGTTTCCATACTCTGTAAAGTTTGACATGCTGATAGTAAGGATGGAGAGTACAATACTGGCTAAATCATTGGTCTACACTATTGTCTAGAAAACATATAGTTGGTTTTTTTTCATTATTTTGTCTTCATCTGTCTCTCTTTCTCTTAGGTATTTAGAGCTCATTTGGATGAGAAGGAATTCCCTTAGCTCACATGAGAGGACATTCTGAAAAGAGTCAGATGTGGTCAGTGCTCCATGACAAGTTCTTACTTTGTGTTCCAAACTGAAAATTATTTTAGGGGTATGATTTTTTAATAAATTAAAGCTTACTACAGACTTACTTTCATTTTACTCATCATAATCACAGCCCTACAGGTATTAAACTTTGGGACAGAATGATAAAGTTGAAACTAATCTTACTAGAAAATGTTTAATTAGTAAAGGCTATTCATGTATACATTTTAATACAACTTGTATGTTGAATATATATATACACAACCATATTCTTTTATTTCCTAGCAGAGAATTTCAATTTGGGGGAAAATACAAAAACTGACATTAAAAAACACAGCCAAAAGGGTTTGGCTTTCAACTGAAACTCCTGATCAAAAATGAAAACCATATATTTGGGCTTTGCTGAGAAAGTGGGAAGATCTCTATGATTCTATCATTCTCTGCACTTTGGATCAAGCCCTGACAAAATTCTGGACAATATAAGGAAACACAGTACTGAGCAAATAAAGAAGTAGAAGCAGACTGCAGATGCCTCCTCCTCTGTGTGCCTTCATTCTCTGCAGTACAAGAAGTGTATGCAACACAGCATGCACAAAGGTAATTTTCTTGTAACAACCAGAAATATGACAACAGGAGATTTGCAAATAATGAAGTGTATAAGAGTGAACAAGAAGATTATCGAGCTTGTCTTTTGATTTTAATTCTTTGGATTCCTTCAGCTGCTTATTTTGCCCAAAGGAGACTCCTGACAGTCATTCTGGACAGGGAAAATTACAGCATAAACTGTCAAGTTCTGTGAATGTTACCTGTTTTACTGCAAATCAGCATCCCCAGTGAAAGGTAAGCATACAGTATTACAGAAGTCTTGCAGTTAGCAAAAAGCCTGATGTCTTCTGTATCAGCATCTTGGTTCAGGAGGGACCTTGAGCTCCCTGGTAAATTTAGGGTCAGTCTCTTCAAATTCTCAAGGCATGACTGTCTTGCACACTGTCACTTTCAGACCATCAAGCAGAAAGAATTAGTTCGTTGGCCTGAATGAAGCTGCAGAATCCAGTGATTTGAATGCAGTCTTGCATTATGCTTAAAACAAGTGTGCAAGTAGCCTGCAGGGTGCAGGCAAGGCTGAGTGGTCACCACTTCCAGTGTCCGTGTCCTCTCATCATTTTATATAATGGGATAAGAATTATAGAATCAATTAGGTTGGCAAGGACCTTTAAGATCATCAAGTCCAACTCCCAAGTCCACCACAAAATCATATCCTAACACCATATATACACATCTTTTCTATACCTCCAGGGATGGTGACTCAACCACTTTGCTGGGCAAAGGGTTCCAGCACTTGACAACCCATTTGGTGAAGAAATGTTTCCGAATATCCAATCCAAATGTCCTCAGCCAAATGTTCACCAGCTAGGTGTTCCTTGGCTAAGATACATGTGCTAATTGGCCACCTGGATGTTACCAATAAAATACAAAATAGTGGAGTTCTGCCTTCTACCTCCTAGGTACTAGGAAGTAGATCCTAGATTAGCACTAAGAGGTACTAACCCAAGATTTTTTCTACTTTGTAGACATGAATTTTCACAAAGCTTCCAAGATTGTAGTAGTGTCTGAGATATCTATCCCCATTCCAAATGTCACTGAAATGGGTCCATTATTTGCAGGCTATTGTTGTAAATGTATAGTAAGGATAACTGTGGGAGTCTCTTGTTAGAGATCAAAGCTAAAAATGTTTGGCAAACTCAAATAAAAAATAAGAGATTCTGAAAATGCTAAAATAGTGTGGATCATTGTAATGTTTATAGATTGGAAATTTATGAAAATAAGTCCTTTTAAAGAAATGGTTTAAGTTACACTGGACTGGCACTTTCCAAAGAATCCATAGGTGAAGCAATGCTCTACCAACTTTATTAATTTACAGTAATATTGACTTTTCTCTTCTTATTCCACAGTTTCACTTATCTGCCCACCTGTAAGATTATATTCATAGTTCCATCTTTGGCATGTTTTTATTGTTATTAAGTTATAAGTTTTAATGTATCACATTCTCAGTGATGAATAGTAGGTGCAACTAATTCTATAGTAGGTATGTAATGATTAATAGAAGGAGGTTTCATTGTGAAGATTATGTGTATGCAAAGACTAACCAAGAGTATACACTAATATGTATACATGAGCTTTTGTTAATACTGAAAATTAAAATACTGTAATTGAACTCTAGATTTTTTTTCTAATAGAACATGTTCTTAAAGAAACAAAATTTTGATATTTGTAACTTCTTTGTGGATAAAAATCAGCACTGATGTTTTTATGATTGTTATTATTACACAGATTTAAAATTTTCGCTTGTCTCTCTTTTACAGATAACTTCAGCTTTATTACACAAATACAGGAATTAGGAAATACAGAGCAGGAATTCTCTTGCTGCCACAAGAGGAAATGTTTGCTTGACTGCTTTTCCCACATCATTACTCCAACACCAAGTGTTCCAGCCAGCCTTTGTTGTTCTCCCCAAATAAGCACCTCTATTCCTTTTTCCCAACAAGGATACAAATCCATTTTTTTCTGAACATTTTCTGACATTTCTGGTGATTCAGACACCACAGACACTCTGTAAAATTCTATTCCTTCAGCTTCATCACTAATGTCACTGACAACATTGAAAGTAGAGTTAAACTCACTGAGCATTCTAGGAAGGTTCACGGGGTCTTTGGCTCTGGGTCAAAACTGCCGAATTTCCCTGGTACTAACATGACATGAATGAAGTACAGCAATTTTTATTTGCCAGACAGGCAATGGCCTATGACTACTTAAGAAGAAAGGAGACAACAAACATTTTTTTTCTAGTACTTGTGAGGTTACGAGAGCAAGTAAGGGAGGCTGCAGAGAAGGTAGAAATATATAATGCTTTTTCTGCCTCATATTTCAAAACAAAAAAGTAATTATGAGCAGATATTTAAAATAAGTTTGAAGAGGATAGGGACAGAAACGAGAAGAGTGAAAAAACAGATTAAAGACCACTTAATACAGTTAAAAATAAAAATTGGAAAAATTAGGATGAATGCCTTGGGGAATAAAAGCAGCAGAGAACAGCCTGTTTGCATACAAGCATCTTAAGGGTGGGTGTCAAGAGAATGGGGTCAGATATCTTTCAGTGGTGGCCAACAACAGGATAAGGGGCAATGGACACAGACTGAAAGTTCCATCTGAATATGAGGAAGAACTTCTTTATTTTGAGGGTTGCAGAGCACTGGAACAGGCTGCCCAAAGAGGCTGTGGAGTCTTCTGCCCTGGAGATTTTCAAAACCCACCTGGACTTGTTCCTGTGTAACCAGCTCTATGTGAACCTGCTTCAGCAGGGAGGTTCGACTAGATGGTCCTTTCCAATCTTAACCATTTTGTGAACCATAATGTGATTTCTGCTAGCTTGTGGCCACTCTGCAGGCCTGAACCCGTCAGTGGCATTCAGCTCCCAAGTTTTGGTTCATTCCCATTACAACATGAATCTTATTAAAAAAGTAACTGCATCATGGGGCACTTCTGTTAAACACACAGACTATTACCAATGCCTTCATGTGTGCTCCAAGTGATGGCATTTATTTCTTCTTGCATGAGCACTTCAAAAGGCCTTTTAAATAATTCTGGGAATTGCTGCTAAGACCAAAACATAAAAGAGTTAGTCTTGTTATGGGCATTTCAGTGCAGCCTGGCAAATAGCAACCCTGTGAGTGTTTGAGGCTGAAAAGCAGTGAGAGAGTGGCAAACATTTGATTCTGTCTGGTGTTTGCTGCATAATGCCATTTCAGGAGAGCTCAGTATCAGCCAGACCCTACTCCCATGAAATACTGGCAACTTCTCAAGCGCAGCTATAGCTGTGAAAATACCTCTTTCTTTTCACCTGTTGGAAAGGGAGCTGAGACTTTTAGCCTGGGAGCCTGACTTTTAGACTGCTAAAATTACATAAGTATAATCATATCATCCATCTGCACACTGTTTTCCTAAATCTTCCCACTGCAGAAGGAAGTCTGTACAGAAGCCTGTAGAAGAAGAAAACGATGTAGTGATGTAGCAGTCATAGAAGAGTCCCACTGTGACTTCTAAGATCCTAAAGAGCTGCAATCTGTAACTTACATTAATGCCAGGCTGTTG